AAACTCTCCGGCTTATATTGATTCATTTAAGACGCCTTCCAAAATAAAAATACGGGGTGTAACACATTACCCTCAAATTAGAGCTCGGTTTCCTCCCAAGCGCCTGATTTATCACAGCACGACGTGAACCAACTTTTGTCTCCACCTCGAACTCATGAACAGAACCCCCAATTTTACTTCAAGCTTTCGGCTATGTTTCAGGGGTAGTGGTACAAATCTTATTGGGTTAAGTAACCAATGTATTCTTTTATACGTCTTGGCTTTCAACTGAGGTATGTAATTTTATCTTTCCGGTATGGTAAATTCAAGAATTTAAGCATCTTATTCGTTGTATGTTCACTCGTGAATTGGTCCGAATGAGTTGATTTTCATATCATCATCTAAACACAATGTTTACAAATATTTGGAATGAGGTCTAATACGTCTCAACTCTAAAATTGCATTACTATTCACATCACCATATATACACACACTAGAGTCTTCAAACATTATATTATCTACTTCTTCACATGACTCTAATGTATTCTTCTCAATATTGGCATCATCAGCAAAAATATGATAAAATGATTGGCTCTCTACTTTTAGCTCCGCAATTTGGCTTATCAATTCTTTCATCTTCACACAACTCGTAATTAATTTGTTTTGGGTGTTAGACGCATCAACCTTTGCAATCAAATTATCATCAAAGTTGTGAATAGCTAAGCCAAACCTGTCAATCTCTCGACTCAATTAGTCTTCAACTAAGTTATTCACCAAACCTTTTAGTAAATGACGTCACCATGTATATTTTTCTAATCGCATATATTCTTCCATAAGCCAACTTTTACTCCCTTACTCAAACTCGTTTATGCCAAGTCATGACAAGACAGATGATCCATGTCAAAAAAGCAATGCAAATATTTACACAAAATAAAATTCCAAAAATAAAACTTAGATAGATAAAAAGTAAAAATCTAATCTAGAAAAACATAGTTAATTTAAATCCATGTCAACAATGCCAAAAATTTATTGCGGCCAAATGCACGCACAAGTATACACGGTCTCCAAGTATAAAATAATGAGATAGAATGTCGAACCCACATAAACTTATGAATTAACCAAATACCAGATTAAACTGTCCTAATAATCTAAATAAAAATTAAACCTAAGAGTGGTACTGCTAAACTAATTAAACTAAAAATAAAATAACTTATGAATTCTAAACAAAGAAGAGCAGTTTTTATGTTATTAGTGTGATGAAAACAAGCTAGGGTTGTGGGCTATCTAATAATACCATTGTATTCTTCAACTATTTCAACTTCTTAATCTATCTAGTTTACTAGTTGAAATCGTACATATGGCTGGCATGCTCCCGCAGTACTACTCGCCTATTCAAAATATGTCAACCCTATGTCCCTATGGTATTAAATCTTTCAAGAATAAATAAAATACGGCATTCAACTAAGCAAGATGGTTAGGTACATCCCTATCATAACCGCAAAATTATTTTTCGAGTCACGGGTTCAGAAACATGCTCTACTCAATCCTTCTTACAATATGGAATTCTCTCTCCCAAGTTCAGCTCTTGATTCGTAGATAATGTTCAACTGGCGATCAAACAATCAAATAATAAAGTGCATGATTAAATAAGTAAATAAATACAATAACTCAAAAAATTAAAATCAATATTCAAACAATAATAGTCATGAAAGAACCGCAATCCTTAGAATGTGAAGTTTAGCTCCACATAGACATGGTAGCCAAAAGACCAATCATCCAATGAAACATAAATATCACCAATCTTGGTGGAAGAAAAGATGAACTTCAAGCTCCACACTATTCCTTGTTGTTCCTAGATCCAAAGTTATGTAAAAATCGTGTTTAGGGTGTATTTATAGGTGAAATAAACTATTTAGACCAATCCCAACTCGAAAAGGAAAACTGGGGACCACGTTTGGCATCTGCTTCGATGCGAGGACCTTGAACGAGCTCACAGTTAGCTTTTTCGTCTCATTTTCTTTTTTTCTCGCACTGGCTCGCGCGATGGTCTTCAGTTCACTGCTTTGAATGAGGTTGACTCCTCCGGCTTGTCCATCTCTCTAGCGACGCTCGGCCTTTGGACGAGAAGCCTTCAGCTCTTCTTTCTTGGTTCTTCGCGTCCCGTTTCGCTCTAAATCAACCGCTTTTGACCCACTTTCGTCCAAACATGTGCCTACATATAAGAAACACAAAATGAGCATAAATCTACATCAAATCACACAATACATGGGACACAAGCATACTCAAAAACATGTACTTTTTGCTAATTATAAGTATAATTATGTAACGACCAGACCAGTCGTTTTGAGAGTAATAGCCCCGATTTCCTATTATTAGCTTCCCCCATATCTTTTTCTGCTTATGTGACTTGCTGGAAAGTTTTGATTTTGGTTTCGGAATGTTCTGGAACACTTAATCCCTAAACGGAAGCTTAAGTCTTAGGATTTTTGACCGTAGTCGGAATTGTGTGAAGACGACTCCGGAATGGAGTTCCGTCAGTTCCGTTAGCTCCGTTGGGTAATTTTGGACTTAGGGGCGTATCCGGATTGTATTTTGGAGGTCTGTATCTGATTTAGGCTTGAAATGGCGAAAGTCAAATTTTTGGAGATTTTGACCGGTAGTGGACTTTTTGATATCGGGGTCGAAATCCGATTCCGGAAGTTGGAGTAGATCCATAATGTTGAATATGACTTATGTCCAACTAATCTATCATTAATTCCATCTTTTAATTTCGGATTTGAGTTGAAATTTTGGGAAAAATGGGAATAAGTTCTTCAACTAAGATTTTGGGTTTTGATTGGGATTTTGATATTGGATTTGGATAATATTGGTACGAGTGAACTCGTGAGTGAATGGGTGCTCATATTTTGTGACTTTTACCCGATTTCGAGACGTGGGCCCGGGTCGGCTTTTTGGGACGATTTTCTAATTTCTTGCTTAAGCCTTGATTTCATTAGTTAGATTAGTTTCTTATAGTTATATTTATTATATGTAATTGCTTTTGGCTAGATTTGGGTCGTTCGGAGTCAGATATTCTTGGAAAAATCAAGTGATTGAGCTTGGTTCGAGGTAAGTGGCTTGCCTAACCTTGTGTGGGGGAACTCCCCTTAGGATTTGGTACTGTTTTGATATGTGAGCGTCGTGTACGTGAGGTGACGAGTGCGTACACGGGCTATTTGTTGTAAAATCCGATTTTTACTGAGTAATAACCTGTTTCTTCTTATTTGAGTTATACACCAGCATGTGTAATTATCCTGTTTAGCCTAGAATAGCATGTCTACGTGTCTTAAACGCTTATCTGAATTCTGTCCACATGCTTAGTGGATTTCCTGCTTCTTCCTTGACTTGTACTTAGTCTAAACTATAGGATTTCGTATTGTAGCTGTTATTTCCATTTTTTTAGCCATGTATTTACTTTGGGACTACGGAACGGTATTATAGGAGATCCCGCTGCACATTTACTTTGGGACTACGGGACGGTATTCCGGGAGATCCCCCTGCATATTTACTTTGGGACTACGAGACGGTATCTCGGGAGATTTCCCTGCACATTTACGTTTGGGACTACGAGACGATATCTCGGGAGCCCCCCTATTGTTATTTATGTGTACTGTACTGTTATCTTTCTGTGATTTCCTTCTGGTTAAATTTCAGTCTTTTATTCTTGCTTTGTTCCGTCTTATTTTATATATCTATATACCAGTAGGGCCCTGACCTGACCTCGTCACTACTCGACCGAGGTTAGGCTTGGCACTTACTGGGTATCGTCGTGGTATACTCATGCAACTCTTCTGCACATGTTTTCGTGTGCAGATCCAGGTACCTCCTACCAACCCCGCTTTTAGTTGCATAGTTGATGCTGTTTCGGAGACTTCAAGGCACATCTGTCCGCGTCCGCAGACCTCGAAGTCCCCTTCTATCCCTTCTTATGTTGTTTCTCTTTTACTTCTTCTAGTACTGATGTAAAGAACAGTTAGACAAAATCTTAGAAGCTTGTGATTTACGGTGTTCCAGGTCTTGGGGAGAAATTGTGTATATTCGAGAGTGGTTATTGTATATGCCGAGCGGCACTTATATCAGTTGTGAAATTATGTGTTACAGTTAGTTGTTAAACTTATGTTGTCATTTCATTATTCCGCAACGTTAGGCTTACCTAGTCGTACAGATTAGATGCCGTCACGATATCTCACGGAGGGAGGATTTGGATCGTGACAAATTCCGTAAAATTCATGTTGAATTAAACATAAAGAACAACAGTAATAATATTTAAATCATTTATAAATTTTATTAATGCAATTATTACATTGTAAAGAGCGGCAATTGCTCTCACGCGGTCCAGAGACGAAGCATCTTTGGTCATGAACTTGAACCAAAAAAATCTTTGGTCATGAACAACAAAAACCAATGATCACACATTGAAAACTTGCCATTAAGCACACCAATATTGCCCGAAAAAGAAAAAGTGTAAAGATCGCTTTTTGCCGGTAGCCGAAACTATTTATATTTGATAGCCGCGAAAGTATATAAAATTTATATTTTTTATATATAATATACAGGAATATATATTTTCTAATTTTTTTTACAATTATTATTTTGAGAACAGATATATAGTTTCATTTTCTCAAAGAAAAACAATAAACCAATACTGCTGTTCTGCTTTTTTGTTCCTATTATTTGCTGCTTCTTTTTTAATTTTGGTGGAAAGAAACTCAATACTACTCTTCTTCAAGTTGCAGCTAGATCAAGATAAGGCTTGAAAGGTCGTGTAGTTTTCTGAATGCTAATTATATCTTTCCACGTTTGTCATGTCAATGCCATCACGACTTAAAATGGAAAACAAGGCAAAAAGCTACGGAAAGATACTTGCATCAAACTCGTTATCCCTACACATTTGAGGACCAGACCAGCATCCTCAGTATCCAAGTTTCGTGCGGTGCCCATGCCGGCGCTTGGCGGAAGGAAAATCGCATTGGCACTTAGTATCAGAGATACCACCAAAACACATTGACTCCAGTGCTGAACAGATGATACACTGAAAGCACAGTAGGTGCTTAGTGTTTCAAGTACAAATGGACTAAGCCTAAAGATACAGGTTATATGAACAAGTCCATGTCAAATACGACATGCAAAATGAATGCAGCTTTGCAATTTCAACTACAATTTCACCAAGACCCTAGGGAGCAGTACAACGTCGGAGAGTAGCTAATGAAAGCTAATCAAAAGAAAGCTGAGCTATATGATATCATGAAGGCTCGAACATGCACTAACTCTTCATTGCCTGGTCCGGCCATGTCTGTCTGCACTTTTTAATCCATTCCGTTATCAGAAGCATGGTCATTTTGAGCAGATGAACTTGAACTTCTCAATTTCATATCTCCAGCTTGCTGCAATTGTTGTTCCTGCTGTTGCTGCTGGTGGAGCTGATGGTGCTGAAACTGGTGTTGCTGCTTGTGAGAATGTATCTGGAGTTGTTGAAGCTGTTGTGCCGTCAATAACGCATGTATTGCATGGTTGTTAGAGTAAAATTGCTGATTGCCTCCATTATTGTATGCTGGAAAGTTCATCATAAGTCCAGCATTTGCTAAGCCTTGGCCAGTTAGCACTTTGAGATGTTGTATTTCCTCCTTAAGTGCATCATTCAATGCTACATACATGCAGAAAAAACAAAGAGAACAATGTTCAAAAAAAGATTTGCTTAAATATTTTAGGTCATGCATTCAAGAACCCAATAAGCACTACAGGGAAATCATAGACCAAGGAACACCATTTCACATAGAAAGTCTGCACAGAAGCACTTACCACTAAGTTAGTCAGGTGGAACCTCCTAATCAGTTGTAGCAACGAGGTATTTAACACATCTATCTCTATGCATTCGGGTTTCCAAAAGTGTGAATTGTCAGCGTTGTACAAGACTAGGATGCAGTTTGACAAGAAAAATGAAGAGGTAAAAGTAATTCAGACACAAAAGAGCTGGAGAACATGTTGACCAATCAATGCACGACAACATTATAAGTAGCAGAGGATGCATATATTTGCTCCTTTGCTACAGGAGGTAACTGATTTCTGGCACACTAATTATGCTAATTTAGGCATTTACTTGGTGATGCCCATGTCACGACCCGAAACCCGCACTGGTCGTGATGGCGCCTCTCGTGAAGACAAGGCCAGCCAACTAACCCAAGTAAACTCTTTCAAAATAAGTAAACATAAATGAAAAGTAAGGTACGCCTAAATGACTTTAATTAACAATATTTACAACCCCAACACAGCCCGACCGGGGTGTCACAAATCACGAGCATCTAAGGAAGCCTGAACACTGCTACAGGGCCAATAATATACTAAACAGAATCAGAAATCAGAAGACAAAGTCCGGTGCCGTGAACGCTGGCGGTCACCTTGCTCAGCTACAATAGCAATACCTTCAACCAGCTCAAAACCCGCTACCGGGTGTATAATACCTGCATCTGCACGCGAGGTGCAGGGAGTAAAGTGAGTACTCCAACTCAGTGAGTAATAGAAGTAAATAATAACTGAGCAGCAAGAAATCACGTAAAGCAACCAACGGACTGTACAGAAGCCGGGTACAATTTCCGAGAAAACAGTGAAATCAGAGAACTCTTTAGAAAGGTTTCGGCTCAGTTCAAATCTCTTTTGAAAATGGTCCTTTCAATAATTACGAAAGCTGTTCAAAATAGTTAGTGCTGATTAGCACAGAAAATCCGCCCCTCGGGCACAAATACCACAGCATAGCAGGTAAAAATGCAGATAAGTATGCAAGATGAGCACATAAAAGTTCGCCCCTCGGGCATGAATTTCGTTACTAGTCAGTCATTGTTACCTGACCGGTCAGCCATTGTTACCTGACCAAAACGCGTATTACAGTGCCATTGTTACCACTGGTCAGTCATTGTTACCTGACCAAAACGCGTATTACAGTGCCATTGTTACCACTGTTTAAAATTTAACCGCTCTAGATGGGTACCCGCGCTCACTGTGGGTGTGCAGACTCCGGAGGGGCTCCTACAGCCCAAGCGCTATATCATCATAAGGCCTGAAAGCCTGTACATATCAACATGAGGCCTGAAAGCCTCCTCACAGCACACTCGAGGCCTGAAAGCCTCCTCACAATACACTCGAGGCCTGAAAGCCTCCTCACAATACACTCGAGGCCTGAAAGCCTCCTCACATCACTCAGCATATCCTCACATATGGCCCTCGGCCTTAATCAGTCCAAAAATAATCATAAGCCCCTCGGGCATCAGTAAAGAAACAATAATGCTCAGCTCAAACAGTAGTTCAAATATCAGTTAAAACTCTAGGTCGAGTAAAAATATAGCTGAGTTCATGAAACAGTGTAATGACATTGGACTGAGTTCAAATAATATTTCAAATAGTGAGGAAAACAGTGATGATAGCTCATAGGGAGTTCAAACAGTCGGCAATAAGCCCCAAATATGGCAATAAGCCCAAGTCTTAGTGAAAAAAACAACAAGTCATAGCGAAATACGCGGTAAAATCAACAACCGGGACGGACCAAGTCACAATCCCCAACGGTGCTCTACCACACGCTCTCTATCTGGCGTTCAAGTCACCTCAATATAGCACTATGGGTGCAAATCCGGGGTTTCAAACCCTCAGGATATCATTTACAATCATTACTCACCTCGAACCAGCGAAATCTCTAGCCCGCGACGCCTTTACCCCTCAAATCGGCCTCCACGCGCGTCGAATCTAACCAAAATCAGAGCGAGTACATCACAATATGCCAATGGGACAATACCCAATCGAAAACAGTCGAAAAATAGCAACAATCTCGAAACTAGCAAAACCCGAGCCCCGGATCCACTTCCCGAAAAATTACAAAACTCACATTACCGGATTCCTCGTCTCGCCACGAGTCCATACATACCAAGAACTCCCAAATCCGAGCTCAAATGACCTATCAAATCCCAATTTGAAATATCAAAAACTCAAGCCCTAGCTTTACCCCTTTTGATGAATTTCAACCAATTTCCATGTTAAATCTAACATAATCTCGTGAATTTAGGCCAAGGAACTTACCTCTAATCATTCCTTCTTGAATCCCTCTTCAAAATAGCCTCGAAGCTCTCAAATCGCTCAAAAATGATGGAAATAACATAACCCTCGCGGAGCAAAAATGGCCTTCAGGGGTTTCCGCTTCTGCGGTCCCCACTCCCGCTTCCGCGTGACCGCTTCTGCGGTTTTTGTCCGCTTAAGCGGAATTTCATTAAATCACAAGGGTCGCTTCTGCGACAAAATTTCTCGCTTCTGCGAAACTTCACCCCCAGGTCAAACCGCTTCTGCGACCTCATGTCCGCTTCTGCGGACTCGCTTAAGCGAAACGACTTCCGCTTCTGCGGAACTGCTCAATCTCACCCTCTTTCGCACCTGCGAAGCCTTCTCCGCTTCCGCGCAACCGCATCTGCGGTTGCCTTTCCGCAGATGCGAAAATACCTGCTGCAGCCAAGAACCTGAAATTTCCAACTTCAATTTCCTTCCGATTGCCACCCGAAATCACCCCGAGGCCCTCGAGACCTCAACCAAAAGCACCAACACATCTTAAAACATTATTCAAACTTGCTCCAATCATCAAAACACATCAAACAACGCTAAAACCATTAAATCACATCGGATTCAAGCCTAAGTTCTTCAGAAACTTCCGAAATGCACTTTCGATCAAAAACCCGACCAAACGACGTCCGAATGACCTGAAAATTTGCACACATATCCAACATCACCTAACGAAGCTACAGCAACTCTCGGAATTCTATTCCGACCCTCGGATCAAATTCTCACCCATCAACCGGAATTCGCCAAAATACTAACTTCGCCAATTCAAGCCTAATTCTACACTGGACCTCCAAAATCAATTCCGATCACACTCCTAAGTCACAAATCACTTCCCGAAGCTAACCGAATCACCGGAACTCACATCCGAACCTTCTAACAAATAAGTCAACGTCCGGTTGACTTTTCCAACTTAAACCTTCCTTAAAGAGACTAAGTGTCTCATTTACTACCAAAACCAATCCCAAATCAACTCTAACACACCAAACACTGATAAATGAAACATGAAGAAGCATAAAATGGGGGAAACGGAGCAGTAACACATGAGACGACGGGTCGGATCGTCACAGCCCAACATTGTTAAAGCTCTGTCAAACTGCTGGACTTTGATTGGCTGGTAAGAGATTGCAAAAGTCACACTAAACCTTGAATTCAGTGCTGATTTTCCTTCCCAATGATCTTTAAAACTTAAGTACTATGCTTAATCCCGTGGAAAATAATTCATTTTAATCCCGTGAGATGCGGCATGTATTCATGTCCTTTTCTTGTATGTAAAGGCCCATTAATGGGCTAAAAGATAGCGGCCATATTGCATTATCTTTCTAACTTGGTCTATTTCTTTGAATCCGCTAGGTGAAGAAAAATTTCTCTCTGAGTTCTAAGGTTGCATCCCACAACCTGAAAACAATTATTTACCAAAGTTAGCCTTCTTTTCTTATGTGATGCACTCTCCTTTCTAAGGTGATTTTAATTTGGGACTGGCATTCTAGAATAGGAAAGTGCGGCACCGCCTTAGAATTACTTGTTTAGGATATTATCTTACTTAGAAATGTATGCCTATTCAAATTTTAAAAGTAATTAATACCAATTAACAGAATAGGACCTAATATATTGGCGCCTATCAAGGAGAATAAAATATAAATTTTCTGAATAATCAATAATACTATAATGACAGTGCTTGTCTAGACAAACAAAAGTTTTGAAAGTTCAAATATCTGAAATAACCAAACCTCCAGAACCAAAACATTATATCTAAAAGAATCCACTTTAAATTATCGGCATGCATCCGAACCTCCACAACCTAACTATTAGAATTCACAGACTTCACTACGAATTATTATCGATATTTTAATTGCAAGAATTGTTCAATATTAGGGTCAACCAGTTTTGGATCCTGCGCTTATGGACAACAAAGATGAAGAGCACTCAAGGAACTACTGCATTAGTTTGACCAGAAAAGTCAATCAAACATGCAATGTGAAGCTGAAGAAGTATTTCAACTTTGATTTCACTTGACTTTTTCCTAAAATTAAAGTATACTTGAAAACAAAGCACGCCATAATACTTATCAGATCCAAATAGTAATCCTATTTGAATCAGCATGAATTATCTGAACTATATAGATTCAAAGGGGGTGTTGATGAAACGGCACATTTTCCAGCAAAATCAGGACGCCGGAAGAAAGGGGAGAATTATCTGACATCCGGAGTAAGAGATGAAGAAACTAGTCAGTTTTCTGAGAGAGAAGATGAAGTCATGTTTAGTTTCTTACCATCTTGCAAGTGCACCTGTTGTTCCATTGTCTGCAAGCGCAATTTAAGTTCATTGTTTTCAGCACTCAGACCATTTGTATCTCTCTGTTCCATATGGAAAACAAATGCAGATATATCAAAACCTAGCTTTTTATTTGTGCGTATTGCACATTAGAGAAATAGAAGAAGTTGAATATACATTTGTATATGTATTTATGTATATACATTCATATGCTATGCATATACAAGACCAAGAAAACAAGGATTTACTTACTTCCATCTCCTCAACCATGTCCATGAAAAGAATGCAATACAAGTTTTAAAAAAAAAAAAAAGGAACTGCATAGCTGTGAAAGCTCTGATATATACCTGCAACAGGGTCAACTGAGCAGACAAAGAAGTCGCTTCTGTTTGCAGAGCTTGCACTCTCCTCTCGAGCTCTGCTATATATCTCATCTTCCTTTCCTTTGATCTGGCAGCTGACTGCCTGTTTGCCCAAATTCTGTAGCATAGTGAAGCAAAGACAAGAATGTGAGAATGCAGCAGTAGTAGGACATTTGTTTGAGTATTAAATTTACTTGAATTTTGAACCATGCCAGACAATTTTCAAAATGAGAGTGTGTGTGTGTTAGAGAGAGTGAGAGAGAGACTTCAAAGCATTGGACAACTTAAAGCGTTAAAAAATACTTCAACAAGCAAACAAAAAAAATTCCCGTTAAACTAAATAGAGTTAAGGCATCGAATGCAGATGTTTAGAATCCTCAGTCGCTTTTAAGAGCTAGTTGGACACCAAATTTGAGACCTTGGGAGGAAGAAGGCATAAGTCAGATGGCGGAGGAAGTTAAGAAAACCAGGATTAATAACTTTTACTACACACAGTAAAAAGAAAAAACTGATCACCCTGGAAAGGGAGGACACCTTTTTTTCTGGGTAGATAAGGAAAGGATAAATGATCCAGAAGAACAAAGGTGTAGTACCTATCTAAAATAGCAATGGTGTACTATTTCATAATACAAGATATTTTGCTTACCACACAAAAACTTTGCAGAATTTTAAGCCATCCGAACAATCAGCTTTCAGACTAACTTCCAACAATGCAACTTAAAATGAGCACCAGAGCCACACCCTGCCTATAGAACTAATATTAAAAGAATACTATGTCATTCGGGAAAGGAATGCATATAACCTAATAGAACTTCCAAATAGCTACAGTTTCCTAACATGCAGTGTTATCAAAGGCAAGCGCAAAAAAGCTCTAAGGTCTTTTGAGGCTTTAAGCACAAAGCGCAAATAAAGTGTGGGCTTTAACGAAGAAAGGCGCAAATTGAGAAAAACTACAAATGTGTTTGTGTTGTCCAAGACTAATATCTATAAGCATGAATACCAAATATATGGACAAATAAATTGAAGAAACTTTATGATAAAGTGAAATATCAATTGTTTAGTGTCTCCTCTTCAGGATTACACTCATTGGCATGGAAAAGTATGTCTTGGTCCCTTGATGACAACACTAAAGCGCCCGCTAAGCGAGGCAAAGTGCTCAACATGTTTTGAGCCTCGCTTTAGGGCTTAAGCGCGCCTTTGATAACATGGCTAACATGACTTCCAAATAGTAAGTGCCATATTACGCAATATAGAGCACATTCATAACATTTTGAAAGAAAAACAAAGCCTGAGAAACTCATACCCCTCTCTTGACCTCCTTTTATTACTCTATAAACAAGTATTGATATCCAAAAGAAAGCAAGACTGAAGAAATTGAATGTTGAATACAAAGAGTAATAGTTTGAAGTCAATTAACCTCAGAAACATCTTAAGTAATTACATACGGGGAAAGGAAACAGACCGAGTTTGTATCCCATCCGCCTCCTTCCCACCCAAATCCAGTGCCCTGTTCCCTCACCATCATAAAAAGGAAGAGCAGGAGATGAGGAAAGAAAAAAGCGCACATTTCCTTTGGCAAACAAGCCAAACATTAAATCAACCCTTAAGAAAATGTCACAACTTAAACTCATGGTGTGTACCGTCTGCTTTGGTCCAACAGAATTCACAAATTTGTCCCTTGGAGATTCGAGCCTAAATGTGGGCATACCGTGTGAACTTGTGCTCTATCTTATATATCACTTCCCTTTTCAAAGTGGAGTTTGTCTAAGGTGTCATATGCACCTCTCCTTCAAAAGCTTCCCTAACCTATAAGACTGACAGTCCTTTACTTGACCCACTCTAATCAGATCACCCTCTATTATGGATGTCATATAAATATCCCTTAGCGACTCAGTATCCATTCTGAGGTTTTGTCTCACTATCTTATTGCAAAACAAGCTCTAATACCATATTTGTCACAACCCAATTATATAAGGTAGTAACATGCATCTAATGGGATGATCCGCCAGGCGAACCATGTATCTCATCCTACTAAAGCAGCTAACAGCACAATTTTCATTTTTTGACAAATAATCCTACTATTTCATAAGTCACTATTTATTGTTACCTAGTTCATGCAATATAAGGTCCTGTTTCCCTCTTTGTTCCGGCGAGTATGATAGTGTTTTGTCTAGCACTGCTAGCGATTTATGTTATGTTTCACACTTTGGCATAATATTTATGTTACTGCTTTTCCATTTATTTATTATCTCTCACGTTGCTGATATTATTTTGGGTTTTTGTTGTTAAGGATCTAATGTCTATGAGCCGAGGGTCTCCCGGAAACAGCCTCTCTACCCTCCGGGGTAGGGGTATGGTCGTACACTCTACCCTACCCAGACCCCACTGGTGGGATTTTACTGGGTTGTTGTTGTTGTTGTTGTTGTAGTTCATGCGGTATAAAACACTAAGATAATACTATTTACACTTGGATAACATTGACTCGAAATTCCTCATCTTTGAGAGGCAGAAAATTAGGACAAATCTAACAATGAACCACAAGTTTATTTGTTCTTGATAAATTCTTGAAGGATTCATTAGAGACAAGTGATGTGACCAAGATATATCAACACAAGGACCTAAAGAGCAAGGAACACTCGAGGGAGGACTTCAGATACCCCACTTTCAGAAAATGGCATTGGAAGTCCTCCCTTCAGAAAATTCTAATAGTATTGGCATTGGAAGTCCTCTCTGCTAAAACCAATAAACAACAACAACAATGCCATTGGACTTCCAATGCCATACTTCCAGAATATATTTACTATTACTAGTTTTCAGCTTCAGTATGGCATTGCACGTGGCTATCTAACTCTTGACCCGATAGTTTAAGGAAGATTATCTGTTCAGTGGATCATTAGACTCACTCTTTACTTCTAAAGTTGGTGAACGGTGAACCCCACTTCTTATTCAGTGTGCCTTTATGGGTTATCCAGACTTTCCTTTTTTGTCAGTTGTCTGAAATCTGCAGTCATGTTCCATGAGCTTGGTAATGGGTGTATTTCAGTTCGATTTAAGACTGGAGTTGTATATGTTAACTTCATCACAGTACTTTATATCACTCACAAGAGCTAGCTATACTCAAGGTTGTAATGTTAGCTAGTATGATACACAGCATTCGCGTGGTCAGTTAGCCCACTAGGTACTATGTCGCGGTCTTATAGAATTGGGTCCTGACGAGAATAATGAAGCAGAAATAAAGCAATTTGCACCCCAGCATCTATCTCAAACAAAATTACAGATAGGGGGCTGACAATAGTAGCTTGACGTCCTTCCCATCAATGAAGGCCAAGATAAGCTAATATGAAGGGCTTCAAACAGCTGTTTTTGGCTTCTTACTTCTTATAGGTAAATCTTGTGAACAGCATGTCTAAATTCAACTGCTAATAGGATTTTTTTATCTTTCAGCCATTAAAGCGAAAAGTTGACAGAAGAGGCCCTGGGCGAAGACTTTAGAAAGAGTGAAGAGCGAATGCTTCAAAATACTAAAAATCAGAAAAGTTCGAGGAGCAAAGTGATTGGAGGTAATAAACAGTTGAAAACGAAACATCACTAAAATGAACTCACCACCAATAAAACACTAATTAAAGTCCACAAATACAGAAAGTATTCATTTAACAAACTACATTGCAGCATAATAACCAGATCATATCAGCATAATAACCAGATCATATCAGGATGTTCACAGCTTTAGCTCCCCCCGCCTCCACCATTTTCAGTTGCCAAATCTCCAACGAGGATTTCATCTCGTGCATGACAAAGTATTATAGAAGCAAATCCAAATGGTTGCTCAAGCTATGATACTGGTTAAATTGTGAATAATGTCAAAGAGACAGCAAAAAACAAAGGAGCAACAGATGGAGGTACCTCTTCGCACGTTTCGGATCAATAAGAGCGAGCTCAGCAAGCTTTGCTGCGGACATGGCTTTCTTAGTCTCAGCTGAAGATGGATCTTCTCCACCTGACATAAGCATCTCCGGCTTGATTATAGTTGAACCATCCATGGACTGACTATGCTGATGTCTGACTCTTGGCTTCTCACTAACAGCGGCAGTAACATTGTCAGTCCTCGAAGCTGTAAACCCAATTGCTGGAGCTTGCAATGAGCCCGAAGATGACTCGCCCACTTGGAATGGAGAAGTAGCAGATGAAGAATTAAACTTACCCATATCAAGATACATAGAGAGGAAATCCTCCTCGGTCTCATCAGACAAAGACGGTCCATCCAGTCCACCAACAACACCAAGATCACTATCGAAACTTATATCATCAGGAAGTGTAAGAATCTCCGAATGGGCACGTCGATGACCCAAATTCTTAGGTGGGTTATCTGGCATTCGACTAATATCATGACTAAATTGGTTTGCTTTTGGTTCTGAAGCAGGTACAGGCCCTAAAGGAGGTAAATTTGATGATCCAGATGGCTCTGACTTTACACTATAACTACTCCCGGAAGGCGAAAAGAGCAAATAGTTTCCTGATGGAGGCAATAAACCCCCTACACACTTCTCTTTATCCATACTTAATGATCTTGAAACATAATAGCTCTGAATATGCAATCTTGAATATAAATAGCAAGAAACCCTCAAGTTGAAAATTACAACTCACAAGACAAGACAAAGCTTGCATTTTTCAACATAACTGAAAGCAGGGTATTCAAATATTTACCAAAAAAGCTTTAAAAAGTTACTAAAAATTAGCAGAAAACCCTGTAATCCACAATTTTTTCAATAATCATTCTCCTGTAAAATGCACCCTGCAAAATGGAAAATTGTGAAAAAAAGATTGGAGTTTTAAGAAAGCATAAATATAACTGTTTTGAAAGAATATGCCCTAGAATTCAATATTTTTAATGATTTTTTTAGGAATTTTTGCACACGCCAAAAAGGGAGGAACAACAGAAAGGGAAAATGGCATTTTTAAAACCATAGAAAAAAATTATAAAATAAAATAAAAATAAAAAACAGCATAAAGAAAAGGGTAATTTTCTTACATGGTTTCTGGTTTAGCTTTTAAGATAAGATCTCCAGAAAAGGGAAGTAAACAAACGGAATCCACAGCAGCTGTTGAAATGTCGTGTGTGTGTGTGTGTGTGAGAGAGAGAGAGAGAGAGAGAGAGAGAGAGAGAGAGAGCTCGGGGAAACTTCGGGGAGACGATATATTAGGCAGGGTATTCCGAGGGAGACAGAGAGTGTGTGCGCGCGTCGTGACGAGGAGGAAGTGTGTAAAAATTAGTGGGCGTTTGGACATATCGTATAATTTTAACAAAAAGGTAAAAAATTCTTTATAGTGAAAATGATATTTGAAAATTAGGCCATAGATCCCAAATATATTTTGAAAAATCTGATTTGGGTGAAGTTTGGTTTGAAGATGAAAATGTGTTTGGACATACGTTTTCAAAACATATTTTCCAACTTTATTTTGGAAAAATATGTATATAATTCCCAAGTTTTGTGATTTTGGCCCAAAATCATCTCAATAGCTGATTTTGGAATTTGGGATTTGTGATTTGGCCAAAATATGGACAAAGTTTATGGCCAAACATGAGTTTTCAAAATAAATTCCAAATTTATTTTGGCAAAACTCATGGCCAAATCGGGCCATAATTTTGGGTTGTTTTTGAAGTTTTTTTGTGAGTGATCTGAGTGAAAAAATTTTAAAAATAGCTTTTTGGAGTTTTAAAAATTTTCGAAAAAATTTAAAATTTGGCTTGAAGTAAAAATTGAAAATTTTATGATCAAAAATTAATTTCGAAAATAAATGAAATTTTTCAAAAAAAAAAAAAAAAAAAAAATCTTAATGTACAAACGGGCTCTTAGTACTATTAGTTTGATTGGTTAAACTTTTAGAATGTAATTCTCGAGAATCTTGGTGTTTAGAATTAAAAAAAGTGTGTACAACATACAAAATATATTTGCGTTGGGCCCCGATTTATTTAGATCCCTTTTAAAATATTTATTACTCTTTCCGTTCCAGTTTATATGAACCTATTTTTTTTTTTGGTCTGTTTCAAAAAGAATGACCCCTTTCTAAATTTGGAAATAATTTAGCTTAAACTTATAATTCTACCCTCAATGAGAAGCTTTTATAACTATACAAATGCTCTAGGCCCCTTTTTGACTTGTTTAGGACCACAAATTCCAAAGTCTTCATTTTTTTCTTAAACTTTGTACGCAGTCAAATAGGTTCACATAAATTGGAACGGAGGGAGTAGAAGGGAAAGTGCTCCCGATCATAATTTTTTTACTTTCAAAGATAAGATCTTTAATTAAAAGTGGAGGGATTATATATATCTTACCATAATTCTTACCGTGCTAATTAATATGTAATCTTAGCCTAAAATATCAATCAATCATGGTATTTAACATGGTTTAGTATAGTTTCTCCTTTTATTTTTGCTCCCTCCGTTTCATATTAACAGTTGTGGTTACTAAAAATAATTGTCTGAAATTATTTCTCACTTTAGAAGTTCAAGACAAAAGTAATTATTTTTTTTTCTTTTTTACCCTTAGTAATATTTGTTCTTGAAAGTGGAGATAACAATAAATAGAACAAATATTCAAGAGAGATTATATCTTAAGACATAAATAAGGGTAGAATAGTACAATCCATTTCCTAATTAATATTTTGTAAGAGGCGTATAAAAAAGAAACACGACACATAATATGAGACAGATGGAGTACTTATTTCTAATGATCTTTGCACTCTGCTTAAAAAATAATAAATGAAGTAAATATTTTACATAAGATTCATAATAATTATAGCATTTCAAAAAGACTTAAGAAATAAGTTAAAAAATGAGTAGTTAATGATAAGTGTAGAATAGGAAAAAAATTAATTTTTCTCTTGATTTGCTCAAATAAATGAGTAAAAATAAAAAATATATTTTTAATATAATAGACAAGTAAAAGTAAGCGGAAAAAATATCAATATATACCTGGTCTCAATTGAAAAGAAAGAAAAGACAGTGTTTTACTTTCCAAGGGCAATTTGCCCAGCCGATACACATTCCGCATAGGAAGCTGGATTGTGACACAAATAACTATATCAAACAACCATATTGTCAACATCATTCGGAGCATGTTTGGCCAAGTTTCTAGGAAGTTAAAATTACTTTTTTCTCCAAAAAAGAATTTTTAAAAAAATTTAAATTGTTTGGCTAAAACGGAGAAGTACTTTTGACCAGCAGCAGAATTAGTTTTTCTACTTTTGGAGAGAAACAAAAAATTCTAGCTTCTTCTAAGAACAAGAAGCATAAGCAGAAAATTAATTTATTCAAGACAAAATCATCATCACAATAAATTTATATTTTCAAAATTGTCCCTTATTGATTTAAGTTTTTTTTTCATTTTTGTTTCTTGTTTTTACCATTCTTTTAAATTTAAAGATATCATATACATGAATCATATTGTAACTTTCCAAATTCTTTATTGACTTTTCTTGTTTTTTGATTTTTTCTTTGTGTAATGTCATGTAACTTTCCAAATTATCTTCTTCTTTTTCCACACTAAAGCAAATTATCTACAACCTTCTTTGGATTATCAATTTTCTTCTTACAAATAATCATTTATAATTTTTTATTATAGGCTATTAATTCCCGAATCTTTAAAATAGTTATCAAATCTATTTGTGAAAATTACCTGCAAATAGATAATAAATTTACAATTGCATCGCAATCTATATATTATTTAAGAAAAAAAACTCCACATTAAGCCAAGTGGCAGCCTCACAATAGGCCACTTGGCAATTCAGGACAAAGTTAGTCGGGTTAGGTAATAATTAGTTTCTTTCTGAATTTAAATTTAAGAAAAAAATTATGCATTATGTGTTTTTAATAATTAGTTACTCTTTTTGAATTTGAATTTAAACATACTTAACTATTTTTTTACGAAAACAATATTTTTTTTGTTATAAATAATGTGGATGTTCAGAACTCATAAAGGAGTAACACTCACTACTCTTCTCCATTATCTTCATAACTCACACTACTCCAATACTTATGGAGTTATGGTTGTAACTCCCGTACCTCTATAACCTCTTCACGATCTTTCTTCATGATCTCAAATGTTTAATGTCATGTTTATGGCATTCTTTTGTATATCTCTATGTAATACTATAAATACAGGAAAAGAAGTAATATTGTACACACTTGAATACACGGAAGAAATAAGAATCTCTCATCTCTTTCTCTCTACATTCTTGTCTATTTTCTTGTTTTATATTATTACCTTGAGCTAAGTTTCTTAACACGTTATCAGCACGAATTGTTATATTCTTCTAATACTTCCTAAAAGAAGTGAAAACCTTCCATGGAAGCTACAATTGTTTTTGCTGCTTTGCCAAGTTAGGTAATATCTTCTGAATGGTATTACTATAAGTCTTATTTTGGCATGTTAACACATTATAAGAAAATAAATCATCTAGTTTCTCAATAAGGTTTTTAGCTTCCTTTCTCGTTAAAAGAAAAAGAAAAAGAAAAATTGAGATCTTGAATCTTGCCCTCTCAATTATATAATATATTTTTTAATATCCTACAACTTTTATAAAAGTTATGATTAATTCTTGAACAGTTCATGATCTTTAGTTCTAAGTCATTTTCATTCAAAAGTTGCATTATATTTATTACAGTAATATTCTACTGATTATAATGTTATTACACTGTATTTGAAAAATAAATTCTGGAAATATAAATGAATATAAACAGTAATGAATATAAACAGAAATGACATAAACCAATTCGAGCCCACTGAATTCACAGTGTTTCCTTAAGGAATTTAATCCCCTCCTAGTACCCAAGGTTATGGATTATTTCCTCCCACGATAGAACGAATTACACACTGGTGTAGTGGTACTTCAAACCCCAGTGTTTCAGCGAACACAAAGTTCGGTAGCAAATCACACTTACTTTTTGCTTTGTTTTGATGCTAAAAGTATGCAGAAGAAGGAGAGGAAACTCAGAAAATTGTAGTTAAAATTCTGAGCAGAATAGTATTGTATTTATAGCCAAAGTTGGGTCTCTTCAGAATGGTTGTTTATGCAAAACGCCCACAACATAAATGCCATTACATAAATGGCCATTTACTCAATAATAAAGAGGGAAAATAAAGAGGGAAAATTGAAGAGGGTAGTTACTTTTCTGTTACCAAAACAGAAAAACGGATTGGATTTAATATTAATATTTAATATTAATATTTTGTTATTAAAACAAATATTTAATAACATTTCTGTTAATATTTTATTATTAACAAATAAATTTGGTCCTAAAAGTTAATCAATCAATCGATCATTTGACCAAATCCAAATCCAAATCCAAATCCGAATCCGAAGCCGAAGCCGAAGCCGAAG